TTTATTGGATGCGAAAACTCATTCAGCCGGGATGGAGATCTGGAGGAAAGAATGGCAGGAAATGGACGACATGGATCGAATAACCATTTTTTTCAGATTGAGGTACACCACAACAAAAATATTGGGAGACCATACCGTTGAAGAATTAGTCGCAGATGGTGTGTCACCGATTTTGTACAGTCGAGCGCTGGAGGAATTAGCTGAGACAAACGAAGAAGAATCATACGATGCGTGGTACAGCCGTCAGCGCGAAAGATTCGAGACTTTTGTTGAAGCCTACCGAAAGAAACTTGATCTCCCCCCCAGGTATCCTGTACTTGAAATGTTTGCCAATTTCAAGGTTCACGAAGGTATAGCAACATGATCCTCAGCTATGTATTGTTATTGTATCAGTAATTCTGTCACAATACACAACTGCATCAGCTTAATCAAAACTGTATGACGCCTTCAACTTATACATTTGGTAATCGCATCGTTCATATATTATTCCACACCTAATCTTCACCAATAATACATGGAGATCCGTCAAAATTCAACTGTGTCGAAATAACCAAGTGGCTCATCGATTCCGTCAAAATAATTACTTACTTCATCACTCATCGATGAGATTACTTTATTTTCTCTTGCTGTTTTGGCACAACATCAACAATGATCAAGATTCATTTCCATTGTCAATGTAATTTGTACTTTACTACCTTTTTAAGATCATAATCTTCTTGGTATTGTGATAAAGACTGATGTTGTCGCGCTGTTGGTATATGGCTCGAAAATAAGATTATAGACTGTGCTGTTGGCGCTTTCTTCGCTCTTGGCCCATGTGCTGCAGCCTGCAAATGAATTTAAATGTCATAAGCGTGCTGATCAAAATTATGATCAACGATGAGGAAACCAAGCTCGCTGGCCACCGGCGATCACATAATGTCTCCACTGGCAAAGCCTCAGGGCCGTAAACAACAAAAAATGCTAGCAGCACGAATATAGCAATGAGCGTCAACACATCGATCAAATGCTTGAAACGAATCCACAGACTTCACCCTATGCCAAGAATAATCGTGCCTCAGAAATAATTATTCTTGAAATTGCACTTGCGGACCGGTAAACCTTTCCAGTGGTATATCGTTCATGCGAGTAGCTTATTTCTCTTTGCACGAGTACTAGTCCCCAGGATCAGCATTGTGATGCGTTTGTTCTCTCAGTTGACAGGGCGAATCAGGCTATCGGTGATTACGGGACGAGCAACAAGTAGTTGCCTTTGACTTCGAAATTGCTGGCTATGATGACTACAATCAGCTCTAGAATCTCTAGTTGTTCAGAGACGCCGCTCAATATATGTCTATTTTACTTGCATCAGTACAATATTTTGTTCGAACAGAAAACGGACTCGTGTTAGCCGAATGTTTTAGATCAAATGGCTTCACTTTCATGATTGAGGATTCGAATTCAAATGTTTAATTTCATGTTTTTACAATGTCGTTTTACACCTTAAAGTAAGCATTTGATAAAGTCCGCGAATTTAAAGTTTGACAAAAAGCGAATCAACATATTCGAAAACTTTCATTAAGATTGAGTAAATTCGAAATTATTAAGAGTCACTTGCCGACTTTCAGCGATTCTATCTCTAAAAACATCAAAACGCTTGCTGTATGATTGGGAATTCTTGAAACTCAATCTTGCTTGTGAATAAAAATCCATGAAGCTGGTTGATTGCAAATTCTTGCAAATTGCAAGAGAATGTCGTGGCCTGGATTTTTATAAATTCTTTGTCAATATCGACTGAGCCCTACAAAGGCACTTTTTCGTTTCCTGACTCGACTTCATCCTTTTCGTTGATCAACCGCTTCTTGATACACTTCAGAATAGGGTGTATCAAGACCTAAGACTCACGATGCTGTGTTCTGAGAGATGGGATTTCGAGTCAATTCATTGATGTGCAATGATGCAATTTTTCATCACCAAGACCAAATCATTTTAAATGCTGGCAACTCGCACAGTAAAGTACCTACATGATGAAGCTTCGGGTTTTCTAGAATAGCT